GGTTCCGAGAAACCGAAGAACATGCGACATCAGACCTTTGAGGCCGTCGCCGAAGTGATGGACAAACATGRAACGCTCATGGCGTGCACCGTGGACAGCGCTAGCAAGCGGCAGTGCTCGATGATGTTTTGGCAGTGCGAATCTTTGAGAGCAAAGTGGAAGTGCAGAGGAGAGATTATGTTGCAGGCGAATRAGGCGAACAAGATGATGTGCAACGCCCTTTTGGACATAGCGAAAGTCATCTGCGAGAGATCATAACGTCGTTGTTGCCTGTTCGTCGATTGCCCATTCCGGGTCCGGAGCCACGCACTGTGGTTGCTGTCCCTTCCTTCCGACGACGAAAGCTTTGTTGTCCTGTCTTTCCGTCCACTGTCACTGCGACGTTGTCTCAACGATGTGTTTCCTTAGATAATTCCTCGCCGGCACGTTAGTGCACGTCGATTAGCAAGAGGGATGTCAGTTGTCTGAAAATCCTTGCCGTGAAATTAGTGTCCAATATTTGTTTTTTGTTTTTTTTTTGTCTTTCGTATTCCTTCGCCGGTGGGCTGGTGGGGTGCTTCGTTGATGTTTTGCGAGCTGCAAATTGACAGAGCCATGAGTAAAGATTGAGTTTTTCAATGATTCTGAAGGGGAACTTCAAATTGATTGGGTGCACTTTCGTGAGTTGGGAATCTCGGGGTTGGGGATTTTTGAAGGGGTCGGGAGAGGGGGAAAGGGTGGTTGTTTCATGTCCTGACCATTTCTATTCACGCCCGTGGTTGGGGCCCTCCATGAGGCTTTTGGCTGGTTTGGAAGCGGAACGCTGACAATGARTGATCGGATGGAGGACTGCTCATGGGCGGTCAGGAAAGTTGTGCTRGCACGTGTCACCATCGACGACACCGTCGGCCAAAGATGAGACATTAAGGGTTGGACCCCACAGCCGCGCGGAAAGAAATTTGGTTTCCATAACCACTTTGGCGAGACCCCACACAGCCGCGCGGCAAGAAATATGGTTTCCAAAACCACTTCGGCGAGACCCCACAGCGAGCGGATTCGGTCTTCGGGAAGATGGGAGTAGTGTTTCCACTCCGGCCGCGGGCCCTTCGTACCCCCTCGCGASAGCACTTCCCGGTGGCGACGGAAGGGTAGGGGGGGGGCATCCCCTCCGATGCCGACGGAGGGTCGGGGACTGCATTCGTGTGCGGACTTCCAGTGGTCCAAACAGGTGATCCACAGTCTTACCAGGACAAGAAGTGGGTGTCACACAAGTGGAAGGCGTGGTTAATGTGTCTTTTTTTTTTCGGGGGGAGGGGNGCGAAAGTCATCTGCGAGAGATCATAACGTCGTTGTTGCCTGTTCGTCGATTGCCCATTCCGGGTCCGGAGCCACGCACTGTGGTTGCTGTCCCTTCCTTCCGACGACGAAAGCTTTGTTGTCCTGTTTTTCCGTCCACTGTCACTGCGACATTGTCAACGATGTGTTTCCTTAGATAATTCCTCGCCGGCACGTTAGTGCACGTCTATTAGCAAGAGGGATGTCAGTTGTCTGAAAATCGTTGCCGTGAAATTAGTGTCCAATATTTGTTTTTTGTTTTTTTTTGTCTTTCGTATTCCTTCGCCGGTGGGCTGGTGGGGTGCTTCGTTGATGTTTTGCGAGCTGCAAATTGACAGAGCCATGAGTAAAGATTGAGTTTTTCAATGATTCTGAAGGGGAACTTCAAATTGATTAGGGGAGCAAGCTCCACATATGTCCGTAGTCCTTGCATTTCCCTTCATCCCACAGTCCTCTTCATGCTAGGGTTGTCGGTCATCCTTGTCATTGCCATCTTCCTGGCCTGTGTTGTTCTCCTCCTCGCTCTCACCTTTTGCGTTGCCGTTTTCGTCCGTTTGTCGTAGGGGACGAAGGTCACGCTGTTTTTGCATTGTCATCTGCTTTGTGAGCATGGACAGACAACATTGGGTTGAGGACGGCGAAAACGGAGGTATGGGACGTTCTCGCCATAGTTCCCAACAATCGGCGCAGTATCAAGGCTTGCACTCCGTTTCGCCATCCACCCACTTGTCCATGCTGAGTAAGGACGCTGACAAGTTCGGTGTCCCTCCTACCTTCCCCGCGGCTGTTGGGCAACTGCCGGCATGGAGGAACGATCCGCCCGGCCTTCGAGATGTGCGACCGGGTCATGTATCTTTCTACCATGCTCGAGATGACCATGGGGGCGTGGCCGGCCGCGGCAGTTCGTCTGCCGCTATGTACTCACAACCGACTGCCGCTCACATGCCCGTGCACGGGGGCAGCACGATCGGTGCAGGCAGTTTCACAGCGGCGCTGTGCGGGGAGTACGAAGATCCTTTCTTCGGTGGTCTCCCTAGACGGATGTCAATGGACGATCTGTCAGGACCATAGCGGTGCTACGGGGGGACATCCAACCAGCAGTGGAATGGCGGTGTCTACAGCCATGGACATAATGACTTATCGAGACGTGGGGCACAAAGCGGGAGTGGGCAGGGGACATTGCCACAGGGAGGAACGCCGGGGCATGGCCAATCAGAAGTGACGATGGTGGCGAACGTGGACAGTGGCAGTGGTGTGCGTGAGGGGCAGGCGTGCTCTCATGCAGCCCCCCAGCAGGTCAGAGTCGAGGCTGGGTCGTCCGAGTTCGTCGATCGTTTGTGTGTCGGCTTGCCACCGGCCAGCCGTGGTGAGGGAAGGGGGCGAGGTGAAGGTCGCCCCGGCACAAGTGACAGCATTGGACAAAGCGGTCGGGCAAGACAGCCGGCACGGGGAGGACGTGGCAGAGGAGGGTGCACTTCACCCTCCTCTGCGTGTGCTGCGGAGGCCAGTGGGAGTGGAAAGGACGTAGGGGGCCAGGAGACCAATGACAACCCGACCATAGTTGACGAGGGAATGCGTAAAGGAAAACCTCCTGCCAAAAAGATAGTGCCTTGGACGCTGGAGGAGTGCTTGGCGTTGGCGAAATGGCAACGTGAGGATGACGCCATGATGGCAGATGCGTCCGCCAGGCACAAGTGCATGAAGAAGGGGGAGAGACAAGAGTGGGTGTCCGAGCGCATGAAAGAGGAAGGGATTATGAGGTCCGTTGAGGAGTACAAGAAAAAATGGTTTAACCAAGGACAGAAGCTGAAACTGCTTGTGGATAAGGTGGGGCGGTCAGGCCATCAATCGTATTGGGATATGACCGAAGAGGACAGAGAGGCCGAAGGTCTTTATGCCACATTCGATCGACGTCTTTGRCAGGSGAWGGAGTGGATGTTGCAAAGAYCGTCTGGGACGTGTGATGAGGCGATGAACTCGKACATCATGGGTGGAGGTGAAGCCGAAGGCACGGAGGGAGGTTCAGGTGACCAAGCAGGGTCAGACAGAGGAGGGTCCGACACGTCGGGAAGTAGGTCGAAGCTCAGGTGAACCAGCGGCAGCAGACTCCATGTTGGAGATGACCCATCGTCTGTGTCCTCTGTGGGAGCTGCCATGGCTGAGTCCACACGTGTGTACGTGGAGGGTTTTGATAGAGTTGCGGCGACGATTGCTCAGGCGAACAAGGAGGGTGCGACCATCATCGCCGGGAGCATTGGCGAAATGGCGATGCAGATAGGTGCAGTCGCATCAGCCTTGGGTGAAGGGAACGATGTGATGCAGCTCTTGGTTGGTTTGATGGGTGCCCGAAATTCGGGCGGACCGCGGAGTACCGGGGGGGTGTAGGAGCACCGATCCTTGAAAGCGGTGGGTAGTGAAGACGCTGGTAACAAACGGTACAGGGTTCAAAACAGATGTGGGGAAGTAGAAGAAAAACAGGAACGCAGAAAAAGAAAAATTAAAATAACAGGGTTGTCACATCCGTCAGCGGACCGTCACTGCTCGTGCATTGGCGCATCCATCGGTGAATTGAAGGGGGCGTGTCGGGTCCGACACCACGGTGGCTAGTCACAGGGGGGAGGNGGACGTTCTCGCCATAGTTCCCAACAATCGGCGCAGTATCAAGGCTTGCACTCCGTTTCGCTATCCACCCACTTGTCCATGCTGAGTCAGGACGCTCACAAGTTCGGTGTCCCTCCTACCTATCCCGCGGCTGTTGGGCAACTGCCGACATGGAGGAACGATCTGCCCGGCCTCCGAGATGTGCGACCGGGTCATGTATCTTTCTATCATGCTCGAGATGACGGGGCGTGGCCGGCCGCGGCAGTTCGTCTGCCGCTATGTACTCACAACCGGCTGCCGCTCACATGCCCGTGCACGGGGGCAGCACGATCGGTGCAGGCAGTTTCACAGCGGCGTTGTGCGGGGTGACATCCAACCAGCAGTGGAATGGCGGTGTCTACAGCCATGGACAGAATGACTTATCGAGACGTGGGGCACAAAGCGGGAGTGGGCAGGGGACATTGCCACAGGGAGGAACGCCGGGGCATGGCCAATCAGAAGTGACGATAGTGGCGAACGTGGACAGTGGCAGTGGTGTGTGTGAGGGGCAGGCGTGCTCTCATGCAGCCCCCCAGCAGGTCAGAGTCGAGGCTGGGTCGTCCGAGTCCGTCGATCGTTTGCGTGCCGGCTTGCCACCGGCCAGCCGTGGTGAGGGAAGGGGGCGAGGTGAAGGTCGCCTCGGCACAAGTGACAGCAGTGGACAAAGCGGTCGGGCAAGACAGCCGGCACGGGGAGGACGTGGTAGAGGAGGGTGCACTTCACCCTCCTCTGCGTGCGCTGCGGAGGCAAGTGGGAGTGGAAAGGACGTAGGGGGGCAGAAGACCAATGACAACCCAACCACAGTTGACGAGGGAATGCGTAAAGGAAAACCTCCTGCCAAAAAGATAGTGCCTTGGACGCTGGAGGAGTGCTTGGCGTTGGCGAAATGGCAACGTGAGGATGACGACATGATGGTAGATGCGTCCGCCAGGCACAAGTGCATGAAGAAGGGGGAGAGACAAGAGTGGGTGTCCGAGCGCATGAAAGAGGAAGGGATTATGAGGTCCGTTGAGGAGTACAGGAAAAAATGGTTTAACCTAGGACAGAAGCTGAAACTGCTTGTGGATAAGGTGGGGCGGTCAGGCCATCAATCGTATTGGGATATGACCGAAGAGGAGAGAGAGGCCGAAGGTCTTTATGAAACATTCGATCGACGTCTTTGGCAGGCGATGGAGTGGATGTTGCAAAGACTGTCTGGGACGTGTGATGAGGCGATGAACTCGGACATCATGGGTGGAGGTGAAGCAGAAGGCACGGGGGGATGTTCAGGTGACAAGCAGGGTCAGACAGAGGAGGGTCCGACACATCGGGAAGTAGGTCGAAGCTTAGGTGAACCAGCGGCAGCAGACTCCATGTTGGAGATGACCCATCGTCTGTGTCCTCTGTGGGAGTTGCCATGGCTGAGTCCACACGTGTGTACGTGGAGGGTTTGGATAGAGCCACGTCGACGATTGCTCAGGCGAATAAGGAGGGTGCGACCATCGTCGCCGGGAGCATTGGCGAAATGGCGACGCAGAAAGGTGCAGTTGCATCAGCCTTGGGTGAAGGGAACGATGTGATGCAGCTCCTGGTTGGTGTGATGGGTGCCCGAAATTCGGGCGGACCGCGGAGTACCGGGGGGGTGTAGGAGCACC